ATCTTGTTTTCTTTAGGTATCAATTCTTGATTTTTTAAGATAATTTTTGCTACAAACTATCTTAATTCTTTCTTATAGATGCTAATATTGCTTATTTTTTTTAATCTACTTTGTTTTGCCTTACATATGGTTGTATAAAGTAAGTAAAAGTCTTTTTTATAAAAAGACAATATTAACGATCTTTTCATCTTTTATCTATCTTTTGCTATTGTATTTTTTAATTATACTCTTTCATAATAGAATCCATTATTTTTAATCTTTTATCATATAGTTGTATTACAACATGATATTATAAAAGTAAAAATTTTATTTTTGTTACACTTTCTACTCACTTTCTTTAATTGTAGTCATAAAAAATTCTAAGAATGATTTCAGATCACATATGAGTTGTGAATCTTTTTCCATCAAATAGTGTAAAAAAAAAGACAATATTCTCAAATTTCATAAATCCAACTTAAGTAAATTTGTTAGGATATTGAGGAAGATATAATCATAAATAAAGCTTAAATTATAGTAAAAAATCACAAATTTTTCATTCTTTTCTATCAAACTTCTCTAGCATACTAATCTTTGCCTCTTTTATATTTGTAATAGCAAGAGACTTGTACAATAAATAAGCAATATGTACAATACACAAATATTTTTTTGGAAATTTTTCAACTTATCAATTACCTAAAAATACTTTAAAAATAAAATTTACATTTATTTTGTATTATTATAAATATAAAAGAAATATTTATATAAAAAATTATTTTTATTTTTTATCTTTTATTTTTTTATTTATAGACTATTAAGACATATATTTTCATAGATATTAATATTGATATTGATCTTTAAAAAGATAAGAAGAAATATGAACATAATTTAATAATATCTTGGTGAAATACTTTTTAGAAGCTCTATAGATCCGGATTTGATTTTACAAGCGTATGTAGGTGATTAGTGGGTTAAAATCTTGGCCATTTGTTGCACATGTTATCTATTTGTTTTAGAAGTTGACCACTTGTTATAATTTTTTTTTTATGTGGCTCAAATATTAAAAACTAGTAAGTTAGATATTTTTTCTATAAATTAAATATGTATTGGATAACATATAAAATGATGACAAGTAGCTCCCTAATTAGATAGTATAAATAAAAAAAATAATGAATCTTTTATCACTCTAATCATTACTTTTTTTTTCTTCTAGTCTAATATCAAGTCTTCTTATCTTTGGCAATAGCCATTCTATTTCTTTCTTGAATAGAAATCTTTTTTATTTCTTCTTTTTCATCTCTATTTGATATACATCTTATTTATATTTTTCAAGTTTTTGTCTTTGGCATAAATTATAAGTGAATATTTATTATTATTATTTTTTTATTTTTTTTTATTTTTTTTTCTTGTTTCATTTCACATCATCAATTATAAGCAACTATTAATTAAAGCCACCTTATAATTTGCATCAAAGAATAAGTTTTAATCTTATAAATGCACAAGAAGTAAGTTGATTAGAACCTTGATAGATAATTGTAGATGATATTTTAGTATTAAATTTCATCTATAATAAAGAATAAAAGTTTTTTTTTTTCTAAAACAATAGTATGCTAAGAAATATAGTTCTCTTTATTATCTCTCTTAGATTTTTAATACAATTATTAGTTGATGCAATAAATATTATGATTCACTTGCAAATAATACATAAATATAAAAAATTATAACGATGTAATTTGTGTACTTATAATAATAGTAATTAACTAGAATGTGTGTTAAAATAAAGATATAAATATGTAAATTATAAAATATTCATTATAATGATTGAATATCAAATGTAGTAGCATTATTTTATGATATTTTTTTAAAGAATTGTACAATTAAGTAAAATACAATAAGTACTAAGATAATAACATCAATTATATTAAAAATGAACTTAAGTATAGTAGGTATTTTTAATATTCTTAAGATATATTTATATTATTTTTAATATATATATATATATATATATATATATATATAAGATAATATTAAATAAATCCAAAATTTTACTAAATTGACTTTTCTATTATAACCATTATGAAAAGAAAATGACATCTAGATTCATTTATCCACTACTAGATTCAAAAACAATAAAAACCAACTACATTCATCATGATTATCTTATTTTTTACTATAGCAAGATGATTTAGTAAAACTTGGATCTATTTAATATTCTCTTATATATAAATTTTATTTTTTATAAGTGTTAAAATTTAAAGTTCTTATTTTAAAAACTTGTTTATGTCATGTGGTACAAGCTAACAATATGGCGCATATATGAAAAACTTTTCTTGCAAGTTAAGAAATGTATCTCACAAATTAGACAAGTGTTGGAAGTCTTTTAGAATGTCACCACAAAGCTCTTAGGTAGAAAGTATAGATGTAGGCAAGAATGAAGTCTTCTTCACTCTTATCAATTCTTTTCTTGCTTCTAGTCTAGTTTCAAGGATCTTTAATTTTTTTGTCTTTTGGCAATAGCCATTTTAATTTCTTTTGCATATACATACTTTCTTATTTCTATTTTTTCATCATTCTTTGAAAAAAGTCTCACTTGTTTATTTGCCTTCATCAAATTCTTATTTTTGATAGATTATCTTTAAAGTTTATTTATGATATTAAAAAATAAACACAACATCAAATATTTAGAAAAAAAAATATGTACTTAAATTAATTAATAAAAATATTATAAGAATAAAATTTTGATTTAAGAAAAATTATATAATGTCAAAAAATAATAAGCATTAATAATTAAAAATAAAAAAAAGAAAAAAAGTATTTTTAATATTTTTAAATTAATAAGATATAGTTAAGTATCTAATTTGTAACCTATATACATACTTTGAAAAAATAATCATCTACTTCCTATATAGTATATTCATTCATCTTGATTAATTATATAGAAGTTATTAAAAATTATATCTATTAAATATTTGATTGTAAAAAATTTATATTATTAGTTTTAAAGTTAAACTAGATTTTGAGTTACTAAATTATAAATTTATATGTATAAGTATAGAAAATCTATAATTATATATAGATTTATAAGTACCTTTTAGAAACACCAAAATTACTTAAATTAAAATTAATACAAAAGATATAAACTTATAGATAATAGAGTAAGAATAAAAAAATTAAAGTTTATTTTAAATCATAAATTTTAATTCGTTACAATCATTTAAGTCAAAAAGATGTAAAAATAAGAATATATCTGAGTAGAATTAAGAGCTTATTTTTTTAAAAAAACGTGTATATTGAAACTTCTCCATTCCATATAAAACAATTTCATTTAGTTTCCTAATTGACATTAATAATGCTAATTACTTTCAAAAGTCGATTTTTTAAATTCAATTTTCACTTAAGTATAATATACAAAAACACTAAAATACTTTTCAAATCTTCTAAGACTCCCTATTTTTTTCTTAAATTTCTAGAATAACTTTCAAAACTTAATGAAGATTTACTTAAATCTTTTTTAGAACTAAGCTCTAAATAAGTTTACCTATTGAAGTTTTTCCTAATGAAAGTTTCAATTTCAGTTTCATCTAATAAGAATACAAATACTATCTCCCTTATTATATTCAAGACGTTGTACCTTTATTCAAAATTATGAACATTTTAAATTTGTTTACAATGTATACCACCTCATAGGACACTAATGCTTAACCACCCTAACACAGTCAAAGAATCCAACCTAAATTATTTTTTATTCAAACCTAAAAAAAATCTAATAATTGCTATGTAGACTTCGGGATCATTAACCTTTGTTTCAAATACATCATTCATGGTGGAGAGAACTTTATCGATGCAATGAGAATCATTGCAACAGGTTAGCCCATCATCAACAAAAATGAGAATGACGAGCTTTGTATCAGCATCGGAATAGTAGCGCAGACATCGGCACTGTTTTGTTTGAGCTGATGAGTAATTAAATTTTTTGTAATTCTCTCGTTCCACGCACGACTCGTTGCCTCAACCCATACAAGGCTTTGTTTAGACGATAAACCTTAGTGGGGTGCTGTGGATCCTCGAAGCCCTATACTTGTTTCATGTATGTTTCATAGTGCAATTGGTCGTGAAGAAAAGCTGTTTTAATGTCAAATTGGCGTATATGCATATCTTCTCTTTCAGCTGTGGCAAGGACCAGGCCGATAGAATCAAATTTAACAGTGGGTAAGTAAGTCTAATGGAAATCAGTGCCGAACTTCTTCGAACACCCTTTTGCCACTACTCCCGCCTTAAAGCGATCAACAGTGCCGTCTGGTTTTGCTTTCAAAGCAAATACCCACTTGCAATTGATGGCTTCACGGCCGAATGGAAGATCAAATATAATCCAGGTATTATTTTGAAGCTATGAATCGAATTTTTCTTGCATGGCACGTTGCCACTGTGATCAGTGCGGAGAGGTTAATGCTTCAGAGTATGATTGCGGTACTGCTGGAGTTGTTAAACAGTGGAGTATGCGAAAAGTGGTACAGTTGAGGCAGAAGACAATGTATGGGCGGAATTCACCAATGAATATCTCCAAACTGTTTGCGAGTAACCAAACCGATCAGGAGGTCGACGTTGACGCTGCGAAGAAGATGGTAAAAATTGATTTTCAGAATGCGACGAGGTGGATTTTCTAAAACTTGCTTATGAGAAGTCGATGAAGGCCAGGAATCAGAAGGAATATTATCAGAATGAACATGATCTAGCTGTTGAATCAAAGAAATCGAAGGAGTGATTTGGTCTTACTGTCGGATTGTAAAATTCGTAGGATTAATGTGATCTCGCTGATGGAGTGAAGAATTCATGTCACGTGTGTTGGAAACATCTTATATATTAATATGATCACTTCTTACACAATACATTATGTGTACAAGTGTGATACCAATAGTCACAACTCTTGGTGTAAGGTCACAATTAAGCAGATAGTATTCTATATTAGAAACTAATGTACTATATTGAATATTTCTCCCAATACTCCCATTAGAATAGTCTTCATTCGTGAATTAAATTTCATTCATTGTAGAAGTTCATCCATTTTAGAACAAATATTTATGAGAAATTTAGGGTTTCAATCTCTTTTTTGGAGTGACAATGTTGGGGAATTTTCTTGTAGTTCTTCCACTATTTCTTCAAGTTTGAAAAGGTATGTGATGTCTTCTCTTGATTTGGGTATGTTTGTTGTTTCGATCTTGTTTGTTTTCTTTGTTTGATAATGCAATTTTGTTTGTTTTCTTCATTTGATATATTGATTTTGTTTGTTTTCTTTGTTTGATGTATTGATTTTGTTTTGTTTTGTTTGTTTGATGTAGGATTGTGGAGGTGTAGCCCCGTTGTGGTCAGCTATCCATACATGCACTGATGCGGGCTAGAGCGGAGGCACAAAGGTGTTCGTCACTCCAGAGGTTGGCCATCAATACAAGCGCTACGGTTTTGCTGCAAGCTCTGCAGCAAGCATGGCTGCAAGCTCCGTCATAGGTGCTGTGGTGGGCTTCTCAGCTAGCCCAGTGGCAGAATACAATTTACTACAGCAAGCTTGACTACAATAGCCTAGACTACACCAAGCTTGGTTGTAGCAGGTTGGATAGATAGGATTTGTATTTTGAAATGTCATGGATTTGGAGTAAGTTTGCTTATTAGATTTTCTACTCCATGATGTATTAAAAAATGAAGGTTGTGGAATTTCTTGTTGTTTTGAATAGACCAACAAGGCTTGAATGGTAGTAGAATAGTTAGCTTGTTTTGGAATTAAAGAAATTGGATACATGCTGAGTTGAAATAGGCATTGGAAATGTTTCTCTTTGAAAAGAGATTTTGTGAATATATCTATTGTCATATGTATAGTTGGCACATATTGTAGTTTGTTTTCCTTAGCAAGGATCTTTTCTCTGATAAAATGGTATTGTGTGTCTACATGTTTACTTTTAGAGTGATATTTTGGATTTTTACTAAGAGCAATGGTACTTTGTTTATCTAAATATATGGTGGTTGGTGCATGTTGAGGAAATCCAAGTTCATGTAATAACTTTCTTAACCATATGGCTTTAGCTATGGCTTTTCTTAAAGCCTTGTATTATGATTTTGTAGATGATAAAGCTACAGATTGTTGTTTCTTGTTGCCTCAAGGGATAATTCCTTCAACTACTAAGAAACAAAATTTTAAAATAGAATAACATATGTCCTTGTCACCTATCCAATCAACATCAAAATAATAATGTAGAATATTTTTTTGAGATAAGTATTGATATTTGGTTCCAAAATTTAATGTATCTTTTATATATCTCATAGTTCTTTTTAAAGTTTGAATGTATATAGAACTTAGTTTAGAAAGATATTGGGCAAAACTGCTGATAGCATAAGCACAATCTAATCTAGAATAAATAATGGCATGCATTAAAGTGCAAATAATTTGTGAATAGGTATAATCTTGAGAAGTAATGTGGTCTTAATTACTCAAATAAATTCCTGGTTGAATTGGAATACTTAATGGATTGGAATTCAATATATTAAATTCATGAAGTTTGTTTATTAAATATTTGGCTTGATGAAAGATTATCCATCTTTTGTCTCACTTTCTTAGAATGACATTGCTTAGAGTGTAATGGATTTTTTCTTCATCTGACATATCAAATTCTTATTGTAAAATATCTTTTATTTGGTAAATTAAAAAAATATTATTGCTGATAATGATACAATCATCAACATAGATTGTAATTATGGTAAAATCTTTTTCATTATTTCTTTTGATGTAAATGTTTGCATTTGGTTCTAAATGTTGATATTTATAACAAAGTAAGTATTGATCTAATCTTTGATACTAAGCTCTAAAAAATTATTTAAGACCATAAAAGAATTTATTTACCTTCCATACCTTGTTAGTATATATAAAAGATAATCCTTCTAGAATAGTCATATAGATATCTTCTTCTACAAAATTATTTAAAAATACTATTTTAACATCTAGTTGGTGTATTTCTAGATTGTGTTGAGCGACTAAGGCAAGAACTTTAATGGAGTTAAGTTTGACTATAAGAGAGAATATTTCTATATAATCAATGCCTTGAACTTGAATGAAACCTCTTCCAACTAATATTACTTTATATTAGTAAATACTTCCATTAGCTTTAGTTTTGATTTTAAAAATCCATTTTGAACTAATTGATTTTCTATTAGGTGGTAAATTTGTCATTTGTCATGTATTATTTTTGTTTAAGGATGTAATTTCAGCATTACTTTTTTGTTACCATTTTTGAGCATCATCCCTCTTCATTACTTCTTGAATGGAGTTTGGAGCTTTTATGATAGTAGAAATAAGGTGGACTTGGTGATGTCTATGACAATAGCATTTATAATCTTTTCTTCTTTGTATAGACTCTAACAACCATGTGGTTGGTTTAATAATTCTTGTTGGTCAAGAATTAAAAGAAAAATTTGGATCTTACAATGTAGAATGGACTTTATCATGTTTAAGAGTTAATATCTTATCATCATTAAAAAATAATAATTAAAAGAAGTCATTGATGACATCAATATAAAAAGGAGGTTGTTCTCATACATTTTGAGAAGTATTATGTAGTAGATATTGATCAAATACATAGGTGTCTTAGAAGTATAGCATTGGTGGTAAAAATATTCCATGAACAAGAAGGATGTTTTGCTCATTGATCCTTATAGTTGTTGTAGGGTGCTTAAATAATTCTAGGCCTAATAAGAGCTCTTCATTGTCCTTTGGCAAGTATTTTTCTTTTGGATCATGTAAATTCTCATTAAAGAGAATATCTCTGGAAATAAAAATTTGTTGATTTTGTATATTTATAAGTCTACAGGTTTTAGATTCTTTACTATAGCCTAAAAAGATAGCTTCTTGTGAATGAAAGTCTAACTTCTATCTTGTTTCTTTAAGAATGAATATATCATCTTTGCAACCAAATATTCTAACGTAAGATAAATTTAGTTGGCATTTGTACCATAATTCAAATCGTATTTTGGTACCCTGTACAAATTTGGTAGGGCTTCTATTTTGGAGATAATTGGTTGTTTAGAATGCTTCATCCAAAAACAATTTAGATAAGTTTGAATAAGATAGCATTGCAAGAATTGCTCCTATTAATGTTATATTTTTTTTTTTTTCAAAAATACCATTTTATTTTGATGTATAAGCTATAGTATATTTTTCTTTGATTTTTTCTTTGTTATATAAATCTTTAAATTTATTTGATTTATATTATCTTCCACAATTAAATCTTAAGGTTTTGATTTTAAAACTTGTTTGTTTTTCTACAAATTTTTTGTATAAGATGAATTTTTCAAATACTTCAGATTTGTATTTCATCAAATATACTTGGCAATATCTTGTTAGATTATCAATAAATGTAATAAAGTAAGCACATTGTGAATATGTACCTTCTTACATATGACCGCAAATGCCAGAATGTATAAGTTCTAATAATTGGATAGCTCTTTGTACACCTTGTATAGGAAACTTTTCCTTATGTTGTTTACTTTCTATGCAAGGTTGACATAAGGTAATTTTCTTTTCATGAAAGAAGCCAATTCTTATTGCCATTATTTGTATTTGTTTAAGTCTTTGTTGATTTATGTGTCCTAATCTTAGGTGCCACAAATTAACTTTATTGAATTGTATTGTTACTAGAATTGTAATTTGAATCTTGTTTAAAAGTATTTTTGTATCTAATTCATATAAATCTAAGTTCAATTTGTAGATTGCAATGGTATTACCAAATTTACTGATTAGTATAGTTGTTCTAGCTCTTATGCAAATTTCTTCTCCTACTATATCCAATTGTTTGGTAGAAAATAAATTCTTAGCAAGTACTAGTATATGTAATACATTAAGTATGATCTTCTCATCACCATTTATGAGTTTGGTATTTACATCACTATATCCTTCTATAATGTGTGTTGCAGTATTGTATGCTAAATAGACAACAAGATTGTCTTCATTTTTGATGTATTTAACAAATCCTTCCAACTCATGACACATATATTGAATTGTTCTTGAGTCTACATACCATATTGAATTTGAATTTTCTTTAACTATAAGAGCGGCTACATGTAATTTATTTGATTTTATAACAACATTTTTTTCTTTTCTATTATTAAAATTTTTAGTTGCTATTTTTGTTCTGCAATCTTTGATCAAGTAACCAAGTTTCTTACAAAAAAGCACTTCTTGTCAATAGCAAAATTGTTCTTTTCATGTGGCTTAGAGGTACTACTCTCTTCTTATGGACTCTTTTTGAAATTCTTATTAAAACAAGATTTCTTATTGTTATTCTGAAATTTCTTGTTATAGGGCTAAATTATTATCAAATATTAAACTCATATTTTTCATGAGTGTTTCTTCTTGGATCAAATTTGTTATCAAAGATGCTAATGTGATCTCATGCTGTCTTTTCAAAGAGCTAATAAATGATCTATAACTTAAAAGCAAACTTCTCATTAAGGTGAAAATTGCTTCATCATCTGGAACTATTGAACTTGCTACCAACAATTCTTTCATATAAACTCTAAAGATATGTATGTGTTTAATAACACTATTACCTTCTCTCATTTTTAAGGTATATAATTTATCTTTTAAATACATCTTAGTTACTTTATCATATGATTCAAATAATTTTACTAGTTCTTGTCATGCTAAATTTGCTGATGTGCAAGATTACATATGTAAAACAATGTTGTTTTCTATACAATTGTTGATTATACTTAAAGACAAGGTATCCTTGTCTACCCATGAGCTTATACTCCCTACTCCTATGGTAGATAAAACTAAGGTTCCGGCAGCAACTTCAGCTACCGGTAGTTCCATTGATAAGCATTCTTCACTACTTACTACAGACCATAGCTTTTCAGCCTTAAAAACTAGTATTAATCTATATTTCTATATATTAAAATATGAACCATCAAATTTTGGAACATGATTGATGTCCACTTTTTGTATCATCTTCAATACTCTTAATTTGAAGTTGAATTAAAATTATTCATTAATTTATTCTTGATCAATTCAATTTTACCTTTCTTATGTTTAAATTTAGAATTGCTTCTCATGGTTTAAAGAACTTCAAGTTCTTCATCAACCTTTCCTATTACAATAGATTGTATTACTGTTGTCATTTACAATCTAGTTTGTATTTTCAGCAATTCTTTTCTAAGTAAAGGATTTTTTAAAACTTTCTAAGGATCAAAAATCACTATCGCTCTAATACCATGTTGGAAAAATCTTATATATATATATATATATGATCAATTTTCACACAATATATTATGTGTACAAGTGTGACACCAAGAGTTGGTGTAAGGTCACAATTAAGTAGATAGTATTATAAACTGGAAACTAGTGCACTATACTGATTATTTCTCCAAATAAAGTGGTTCTGTATGTAGTACTGAATACTTGTGTAAATTGTCTAAAGATGATAGACGTCCAGTGCAGTGTGTCGGCATTGGATCAAGATTAATATCAACTCCAGAAGTAGTCGAAGGAGAGGATGACGTTGGATGAGAAAAATCAGAGGAATCAGAATGTGTACTTTGTAAAACATTATTTTTTTGTGCAGAAGATGATTGCTTTGGAGAGGTAAAAGGAACTTCCGTCGAAATAGTTCTGGATAAATCAGGAGCAGTACTGGTTGTTGAAATATATTTATTTTCAGCAAAGAGAATATCACGACAAATTATAACTTGTTTTCTTTTTGGATCCCCAAAACAATAACCTTTGTATGCATCAAAATAACCAAGGAATAAACCAATTTGACTTTTGGCATCAAGCTTTTTGTGTAATTGATGTGGAATATGAATAAAAACTTTAAAACCAAAAGGTTGCATGTGGGCAAGAGAAGGTTTTTTACCCGTATAAGCTTGGAAAGGTGTAATGGTAGGAAGAAGTTGAGAATAAGTTCTGTTTAATGAGTAAACAATATTAACAATTGCTTCAACCTAGAAAGTAGGATCTATATGTGAGTGATAAATAGAATTTTGAACTGCTTCCATAATAGGATATTATCTCTCTCTAATACTGCATTTTGTTCTGGCATATACAGAATTGTAAGTTCATGTTTGATGTCTTTTTGTGTAAATATCCAATAAAAAATTTACTACAATATTTGCCTCCATTATCAGTTCGTAATGTAAGAACTTTGTGACCTGTGTCACACAATATTGTTTTGCATGCCCTTAGAAAATAAATAAGAGCATTTGATTTTTGAAGAAAAAAAAATACAAAACGATAACGGGTACAATCGTCCTGAAATAGAATGTAATACAATGAACCACCATAAGATGGCACACTCATGGGGCTACAAATATCACTATAAAGAAATATTCCAAGAAATATTCCAAATAAGGAAGCTCGAGTTCTTGTAATATTTTGTAGAAATAGATTTCTGTGAGATTTACCAAATGCACATCCAGAACAAATACTTGGAGGATCAATATTTTTTAATTTAATACCTATAACAGAACCATTTGAAGCCATTCGTTTGATCATATCATAATGTAAATGGCTAAGTCGTAAATGCCATGAATATAAATCTTGTAATTCTTCTGATGATGGAGTATTGCCGTATGAGGCTGCATATGAAACAATGGCTGGAGAAAATATAATAGTAAAATCAAGTATGAAAGATCCCTGACACATATGCCTGATCATAATAAGCTGACTGTCTTGAATTGATTCAAATGTATGGTCTTTACAAAGAGTAAAATTTTTATGTAGGCATGCTACCTTTGTAAGACTGAATAAGTCTCTCCCAAAATTAGGAATGTATAGAATTTGTTGTAGAAGATGAACTTCATTCCCAGTGGATAATTGTACTAAATTTTTTATATTACCTGTACCTGTTACATAACATGTGTGTCCTACTGGAGTCTCAACTGGCCATATAGAATGAACTGGCAATGGTTTATAATTTATGAACCATTGTAGTTGATCTGTAATATGTTCTGTTGTCCCACTGTCTGCAATCCAGTCATAAATAGCACCAGAAGTTGATGCAGAAGCAGTAAACGCTCAAGTTATATCATTTGAAAAATCATAATATCGAATTTCTGGATTATAAAGATTATACTGATCGGAATGAGTATGTGAAAAATCTGGAAGAAAATTCTGATAACATTCCTCCTCTCCGAAATATTGAGTTTCATTGCGTTGATATACTGCTGTTGAATAAATAATCTCAGCAGAAAGAAGCCTGAGAAGTAGAGCCCGATTGCATTTTTGGTGGCCAAAACGATGTTGAGTAATGGGGACACTCCTGCCACCAATGGCCTAATAATCCGCAGGTATTGCATCTTGTTCGCCGCGTAATTTCAGAAATATCACAAGCCCGCTAATTTTTGGGACGAATAGGATGATGAAATTGCCTTCTTCCTTGCGATATATATGGGCGAGATGAAGACACAGTTACGTGGAGGAGTAAACCTCGGAGCAGACATACCAAAATTAGATTGGTGAGAAGTTGACGTGCCTGGATTGAAAGCCCAGGACAGAAACACTCTCAGTATACGCTAATTCTCTATTATATGGATTTGATGTGGAACGTCCACGTGCAGCATACAAAGCTCTTGTCTCCAGAGTGGTCTCTTGATGAATGCGTTTGAATAGTTTTGTCTCCTCCTTTCGTAATTAGATTCTCTAAATTTCCATCCTTGAGAGAAGTTCCCTGCCATGCTGAAGTGAACCCGTCAAAGTCGGAAGGTAAATTTGCAGTCAACTTCGAGATCATAAAATTGTCAGTGAATGAATTTTCTCCTAGCTCACGTAACTCGCTGAAAATAAATTCCAGGTGCGATGAAGTCGGATATCGTTTGTCAACTTCCAAATTTATGCATAAAAAAACAGTGGCTGCAGTTCGAAAATGTCGTTGCTACTTTCATGCTCCTGCTTCTCAAGAAAACGATCCAGAATTTCGTATCCCGTCATGGAAAAGTCAATGGCGCTAAAAAACTTCGTTCGATCGAGGAAAGTGGGCTCTGTGACAAGAACAGTCCAGCACATGCGCAATTCGGGAAGCCGTACCCAAATGTCCTCTCCGCCTGACAATATGCGAGATATGCCCAACACTCCCGGTGCACACTCTACCTGAAACATGGCCACTGCGTTCTCGCGCCCCACAGCGCGAATGGCATGGAAAACCACAGCTCCACCGAATCAACGAGTGCCACAAAACATAACAACATCCACTGCAGCGCCACACATCCCACGCACATGTGTTCGACGCTGCGCCCCCGACCGCTAAAACACGACCAGCTTTGACATGTGTTGACGATCTCCAGAAACGCAACAGAGAACGCAATGGACAAAGCTTGGCCACCACGAGCCCACTTGTGTTGTCAATCATTCAGTATCTCTTCATGTTATTGTAGGGAATCCCAGTTGCCACAAGCTCCTGAGTTCAATTTACACATCTACATCGGTCAGCCCAATGGTACAGAGCCCGGACCGCGGCGCTCCAGCGGCCACTCTCTACGCTCGTCATCAGCGGCTGTGTCTGTGCATCGAGATGATGCACTGCGGCCTCTTATTCTTCCAACTCGACTACCGACTACCGACTACCAACACTGTGACCTCTGGAACACGCTGCCCGCGCCGTCGTCGGTCCGGCCACGGCAGGGAGAAAGCAGCATTGTCCAGCGCACCGCATCGGCGCACAAGTGGAACGAAGCGGGATCCACTGCTCCCGACCTCGGTCCGTCGTCAGTACCTGCGGACGCAGCACTTCTTGTGGGCGTCGAACTTCATCCCCTTCTTGCACTGGTCGCGACACTTGCCGTTCTTGCAGGTGGCCTCCCCGCCAAAGTACTTGGGCTGGGGGCACTTGTTGCCGCAGCCGCCGCAGTTGTTCACGTCGCTGCCCACGTCCTTCTCGCACCCGTCCTTCCAGTCGCCGTTGCAGTTGGCCCAGCCCCACTTGCACGTGTACTGGCACTTGCCGCCGCTGCACTTGGCGCTGGCGTACGGGCCGCACTCGCACTTCTTGCCGCACGCGCCGCAGTTGTACAGGTCCTTGCTCACGTCCTTCTCGCACCCGTCCTTCCAGTCGCCGTTGCAGTTGGCCCATCCCGCCTTGCAGCTGTATTGGCACCTGCCGCCGTTGCACTTGGCGATGGCATTGGGGCCGCACTCGCACTTCTTGCCGCAGCCGCCGCAGTTGAACACGTCCTTGCCGACGTCCTTCTCACACCCATCCTTCCAGTCGTTGTTGCAGTTAGCCCAGCCGGCCTTGCACGAGAACTCACACCTGCCTTTGTTGCACTTGGGGACGGCGTACGGGCCGCACGCACACTTGTTGCCGCAGTCGCCGCAGTTCTTCACATCGTACAGGACGTTGGTCTCGCACCCGTTCTTGTGGTTGTAGTCGCAGTCCTTGGTGCCTTCTTTGCACCACGCGTCGGCAGAGCCTGCATGGACATGGCGGAACAAATCCAACACGTTATCGCTTCAGCGTGCCATGAACGAGTCCAAACGACACAAGCATGTGGAATGGTTTTTGGATCGGATCGGTACAGCACTTGCAATGCCGGGATGCATCCACTGAGACGCACCCTGAGATCGCTGGGTCCGAACGGATGGGCCCTGGTGCCAACACAGAAGAATCATGCAGTGAGCTCGTGCAGTGCGGGTCAGTGTTGGGCTAGGGGAGTGGGTGCGTCACCTATGAAGATCATTGCCAGAGTGGCGGCCACCAAGAGGCCGGCATGTCTCGATTGCCGGGAGATCGCCATCTTCGTGACAAGCTGGATCGTCTGCAGCTCCGCACCGATGCTTGCTTCGACTCACTGGCTCAGAACGCAATGGCGGCAGGATCGTACCGGAGGAGGAGGAGGAGCACGTTTCGATGACTGCAGTGCCCGCTGCCGCTGGTTATGTAGTGAACCGGGCTTGGGGCATCTGCGCATGGTTGGTAATTCTGGCGTTGACAGTGAAGTGCGTGAACTGGAAGTTCTGGCTCGCGGATAGGATTATGTTGACTTTCACGTTCACCGGTGACCTGGAAGACGGACCTGAAGGGGTGGTATCGGGTAGGGGGGGGGGACGAAACAGTCCTTTCGGGCTGACTGTGTGCCCGCACGACCGAGAGGACACGACTATTCGGGCTGCTGCGAATGCTAGTATGTGGAAGCACTCTGCAGAAGCTTGGCATGGGCACGCTTTGACTTTTGCGAGGGAACGTTCCAGTCCCCGGAAACGTCGTAATGTTCACAGAAGCGTGCTTCTCGGGGAGCGAGACTTGGTAAGTTTTGGGATCGTGCGTCGATGAGCCATCGGCAGCAATCCTGGACGCCCGTGGTCAGGGGGTGGAATTTCTCTTTCCATGCAACACACAGAGCAGGCCGGGCCGTCTAGATTGGGGATTGAACCGGTGACTGGTATTTTAGCGTTGTGTACGGGTTGTGCTGTAGGCGGGCTGCGCTTTTAGTCAGTCCGTGAGCGATGGAACTGCATGATTTGGACGATGAAACCTGGTCCGAGGTTTAAACCGCAACTATGGATATTGCATTGTGATGTCGTACTTGTAAACGGGTAGACTGTGTAATACAATGAAAAGTTTTACGAACAACCCTTTAATCGCAAGCAATATTCTGGGGAGTTTGCAAAAGCCTGGGTTAGATGGAACGATTTAAGAAAATATGAAACTAGAAATAAGGTTCTTGTATGGAATAAGATTCTACACACAAAGCTTCGTCTTATCTTTTCCGAGAGGCTCGATCAATGTTCTGGACTACGTAAAAGCATATTAAACAATCGAAAGCAAAGAGGTCTTCCATCCTGTGTTTCAGATAAAAATATGCAAATAGAATCCTGTTTTTTCCGCCGTCTGAGAAAAACAAAAGCAATAATACTACAACAGTGAAGAGCCATTTATTCGTATGGATTGACTTGCTTTCCACTTTTTGCGCTCAGGCGTAGCTGAGTAGACGCCGGGACAAGACATTGTGGTGGACGAGGTGGCAGACAATTCGCAATCCAACTTTTGGGTGCGTCGAGACTCCTAGAGCTGCATCCTCAAATTTCGTGCAGAACCGACGTTGACCATGTGAAATTCAGTACGTATGCAATAACATAGAGTTATTTTATTCGCATGTTGATCACGATTTATACATTTCAGGATTTGACAAGTTTGAGGATCTTCTACATACATTCTATTTCAACATTGTGTTCGAACTAAACTTATCCTCGAGCATATCGAGTAATACCCTGACCATGGTGTTCTGCATGGATAATGGGTTCATCCATGCACATAAGGTTCTCAGGTAGATATATTAGGCGAGTAAGAGGAAGAAACTCCAGGCGCTCCTTTTTTTTCCTGCCAATACCCCCTCTCGCTTAGGGTTTCGTCTCTATAATTCCTTTTCATGTGGCAAAGCTCTGTTGCAATGTCACTCTTTCTTGTGCGCCTGCTGAGCGAACAAGTCAACCGCCTCTCTTTGGTAAGTTTTCTTCCCTTCTTGTTTTGTTGTTGATGTTTTTCTTATTGTGTTTGTATAACATGTGCTATCATTAACTCAGCCTGAGGTGCTTTTGCTAGGTGTGTGGTTTCTAGTCACTCTTGTAAGAAGATGTTGTGATTGTATAATCATATATACATACATATGGCTTGTTGTGCAAGTCCTTAGATCGACTCAAAAATCCATGTTTTGAAGTTAAGCAAAGCTCATCTTTTGATATAGGTTTTGGCCCTAACTTTTATAATAAAACTTATATACATCCTATTACTACCAATGTATAGCTTCCATCATTAAGAGTTGATATAAGTTTTATAAAGAGAGAGACATTAAGTATATTATTAAGAATCAATAATTTTTTTATTTTTTATTTTTTTTCTACTAAAATTGTAGAGTTTAAGTAGGGATTAGAAGAAAGTGATAGAATCTACAGATCATTGGAGCACCTTGATGTTTATAAAGGTGGACACACTTGGCTATTAACAATGTGTTTTGGCTAAAGGTATATGACTTGACCTTGGCATTTATTACATAGATTTAAGAATGAATATAGTTTATTTATGATAGTTTATAGAAAAAATATAAAAGAACTTATTAATTATAGTTTTTTTTATCTATAGATATAGGTTGCAATTCCAGCATGTCATTGGTGTAGATTTTAGAATGAAAGATGAGATTGTTCTATCGCTTTTGTTAGTTTAGCATATTGATTGCTTTACTCAATATATCTACTAATTGATTTTTTGTTTGAAAAAATAGAAGTACGTAAAAATAGATTAATTTCATAATATCTTTTGAAGAAACTTCTTAGAAGCTTTATAGATGTCTCTATGACTTTACACGTATTTTTAGTTAATTATTAGACTTGAAACTTGATCAACAAGTTAGCTACGTGATACACGTCTTCATAGTTTTTGGAATAAGATAATTATGTGGCACATACATAGATAACTTGTGTTACAAGTTAAGTCATGTGTCTTGCAATATCAATATATGTTAGAAGTCCTATAAAATATTATTATATAGTTCTTAGTTAGAGAGTATATATTGAGGCAAGAGTGAAGTCTTCTTCACTCTTGTCAACAACTTTATTACATCTTAGTCTTATTTCAAGATTTTTTAGTCTTCTTATCTTTGGCAATAGCCATTTTAGTTCAATATATTATCATCTTTGAGTGATTTTTTAGTCATTTTAAATGACACAAAAGTGTATTGAGGATTGATTTTTTTAAGATTCATGTCCTTGATAGTCCAAGGTCTTATAAAATATAACTATGTAGCTCTTAGTTAGATGGTACATAAGGAGATAAAAGTATAACCTTCTTCACTCTTATCAATTCTTTGTTTGCTTCTAATCTAGTTTCAAGGATCTTTAGGATTGTTGTTTTTTGGAAATAGTAATTTTAATTTCTTCTTAAAAATACATATTTTTTATATTTATTTTGTAATCTTTTTTGATACATATCTCACATGTTTATATTTTTTCTTTAAGTACTTGTCTTTGACATTTGTTCAAGTTCTTCTTCATTTTGTGACAATGTAATATGTTTATTTATATTATTATATAATATAGAAAATATATCATTAAGATCTCACATGTTTTTAATATTTTGTTATCTAATCTTTGATTCATAAAAAATAACATCCTCACAAATGATTGTCTTTTCTTTTCTTTTTTGTAGAATTGTACATTTAATAAGCTTTATTATTAGAGTCATATCTAACAAAAATTCACTTTTTTATTTTACTTTAAAGATTTGAGTATTGTTTTTAGCTATATAGAGATAAGTAATATAATCAAAAGTTTGTAGATGAATTATATTGAATATATTTGTTATTAATAATATTTTATAAATTTCTTTTTATTATTAGTATTTTTAAAAACATAAGTTTAGAAGATAGTTTAAAATATGAAAATTATACAAACTATTAAGAATGCTAAATCCATCACAACAACATATAGAAATGAAGAACCTCAACAACAATGTATTCTTCCTTTAATACATGGCAAGATACAACATGTTTACTATCACAATCTAAGAAAAAACTCTCAAAGCTTGGAGCTACTATCGGAGACAAAAACCTCTCTTGATTCTGTGTCAAATTTGCCTCTTTAGAATCTTTTTATATTTCATTTCCTTGATACCTCTCTTGCTACCTTGATTACACTAGCTATAACTTATTGTTATTCCTACTAGTAAGATATGTTATTTATTCAAATTCAAGTTGATCATGGTTATAAAAATTTATTTAAATATTATGAAAACCTTTTGGAGTTTAAAAATCTTATTCAAATTCTTCATAATGGCCTCTCCAAGTAATATAATTGTTTTTACCAAAATCTTTCAAATATATTCTAAAATTCCTAAAACACTAAATCAAAGCTTTAAATAATTTCTAAAACGTTTTTTTTTATGATTTAAGATGCTAACATCAGATTGAACCTACTTTATCCTATCTTCTTGATTATTTTATATCAATTAAATCAATCAATTTATATCGACACTAAATTACTAAAAAAACCATAAGGTTCTTTTTTCAACTTTTTTTACCTACTAATCAAAATCAATGAGATTCTAATAAACAATACATGTGGGTAGAAGATTGATTAGATATTGGATTCAATAGCTAGATACTAATTATCACAATAAATAAAAATATATTAATTAACTAGTTAATTATCTCTAAAGTTGATGATGATTCTATTTTTATGATTTTCTCTCCAACACTACTCTTGCAATTTACAAAACCTTCCAAATTCAAACAAATACTTTACTAATCAAAGTGACTTCCTAATTTGAATAATTTGTATGAAAACAACATATAAAATAAATTTTTGATATATCCACTGATTGAAATGCATGCATAAAACTCACAATATTCCCTCAAATGGTCAAATTTGACAATACTTTTTTCTCCTTACATATACTCTATAATCCTTCAAGTTCAACATTGACTAGAGATGATAATGTAGCCAATTGAAACAATCTATTTTTCCGATAACAGATTTGTGGTTTAAACCCTGACATAATCATGCACAATGTATGTTTATATGTTATTTCCCTCATCTCCTCCACCCTCCCTTCAAATTGTGTGCGTGGACAGATCAAAACAAAACCAGACTGGCCCTAGAATTCTAGACGGATGATTTTTTTTTTAAAACGATACAAATAAAATACTAATCATCTCTCATGTTCCCATGTGGGGGGAGAATAGCCTCACCTGGTGAGCTCCCATGTGCATCGAGGGCACATTAGTCAACAACCGATTTTGTACATCACCATATCGGAACGATCGCCAGGAAGTCAACCAGGGCGCCTTTGCAGGCCAGCCATTGCCCCGCTTCCTCTGCACATGGGGCTCCACACGTGGCTGGATCAGATGCAGCAGCCACGAATCTCGACGTAAGTGCGACCAGTCGGCGCAAGCAGTTCACCATTCGCGTGCCTTCGAAATGCAATGACAAAAGCACGCAGCTTACAGATTTTCACACATTCGCTTATTGCTGCACCATCATGCTTCGAATTCCTGGTCTCTGTGACTTGTTCAAGTCATGATTGCAACTGGAAACCACCTGAAATGCTTCGAGGGTTATCAGATCAGGCCCACCATCCGAGCCTTGGCCTTCCAAATCCTCACGCTGCAACAGGTAGATGCCTGAAAAGGCTCAACTGGGTGTCAACTTGCACGCGCGACACTGCTCATGCTCTCAATTTAGAAAGTTCAGGTCCGGGCTGTGGCACTGCTTTCATTGATCTCTCAATCCAAGGCAAACGATGTCGAACTGTAATACGCCGCGGAAAACGAGGTTACCGTGCACTAGCGAAGAGCTCGATTTCGTCCGACGAGTGGGATTAAGCCACGCAGAGCGGGCTGAGGTTGGAGTTCATTGTCGAAGTGCTCAGATAATCCGGGACCGACCGGCTCAGGATTGTGGTAAAGAATCACGCTCACTTGAAGATTGAACTCAGCGATTGAACCAGTGCAGGCACTGAACTGGGCGATTTATCCAGTGCCGAGGCTAAACCCAGCGGTTTGCAAGAATCGGACAAGCTCCAGTTACTACCTACCGTCAAATTTGGGCTTTCCAATGCGATCGTTGCTCATTACGTCCAAGCTGAAATGAGAGTATGATCCACAACAGCCATGTGAGAAAACCCGAGTGCTGGCCGGAGGGTGCTCTCACCCACAACGAGACGACGCTGGAAGTGTCGCCGACCCTGCCACTACAATGAGCATGAGCGCAGGTGAACCCGCGCATGTGGAAGAGGTTGGACTAATTCAAGTTACGCTGGAGGAAAAACAACGCATTGACACGAACGTCCCCGACGATGCGAGTAATTGTAGATGGCTAGTAGCATTGTAAGATTGTAAAGAAGAGGCAACGGTGGAAATCCGAAGTTCAATACAGTGGACTGATCATTTAAGCGCAGCCCGACGGCTAATAATCTAGCTGGTGATCGATTTTATGTGGGTCGGGTTGTTGGATGAATACATCCAAACATAGTCTACTCCTCATTCATTCGTAGCACCAAATGGATTTCAGTCTGTGAGTTAGGTAATTGTGTTCGATAGTTTTAGTTCGAGAGAGAGAGATACAGGTGCAGAGTGTTATCGAACGAGAGAAAGAATACTTTCAGTATTAGATTCTTGGGACACTAAAGAATTGTGTATGATTGAATAAAGAGATATTTGTGTTATAAACGAGTGTACATTTGCAGAGAGAGTATAGAATTTTAACAGGTTATGGGCCCACACCCGCGTGTACGCTGCGCTGAATACACATATATAGTTTTTCGCTGCTCTGAATCTCATGAAACGTCCACTACAATAGGGATTCGATAAAAGTTTCTCCACTACCTTGTTTCTTGATTATTGATTCTTGATTATTTTTCTTTACACAAGATTATCGTGATATTTACTATTATACATGGAGTATCATATTATTTCAAGACCAGATTCTATTATTCTTATTACAGTACTCAATATCAACAGCGTTATATCACACTAGGTTCTACATTCTAATTTCACACTCCTAATTGCTTCTTGTTTATTTTCTTCATTGTGTTTTTCAATCCTTTTTCTGATTCTGTTTTACTTGATTCCACTCTATTTCTATTCATTGTTTATATCTCAATGTATCATGGACAAGCATGATAAAATACCGATTAAGATGTTCTACAAAACCAATTTCTCTATATGGAAATACCACATGGAACTAATCTCCAAAGCAAAGAAGATTTTACATGTTGTCAATGGACTTGAGAAGTGTGAGCTAAAATAAGCCTCCACTAGTTGGAAGTTTATTCTAGTTCAGAATAAGTGAATTAACTATTTATTTCTTAGAAATGTTAGCTCTTATTAAAATCTTAATATTTTCACTCTTAACCTCTTTAAATCACCAAGTGTGATATAAACAATTCTCCACTATTTGCAAGGTTGTCTTAGTTCACAACAAGTGAATTAACTATTTTTTTTTTTAATAAGTTGTAGTTCTTATCTAATTTTTAATTAAATCACTCCTTAATCTTAATTAAAGAAAACTAAGTCATTAAGCAAAACCTCTCCCTTGAATTGGCATACAATAGCAAATTATCCACAAAATGCATGCCAAAGGATTTCCTTCATTTAACTCTTCATTTAATTGTTTGATTGTTATTTTTATTTTTTTATTTTTTCTTATATTAATTTTTATTTATTAACAAACAATCATCTTAATATAATTTATCATCCATAAATAATTTATCATCTACTTTTAAGATTCATCTATACTTTAAAAATTCATCCAAATTGTTTGCTTTAGAACCTAATCTAACTTCATTCTAATATAATCTAAATCACCTAGTGTGAATTCGTTTGCCTCAAATCTCACTAAGTAGGAAGACTTGATATTGTCTATTGCGATTGAACTTAGATTTGATTTTGTTATTGAAGTGACTGGACT